AGAGACAGATATATATATATATATATATAATATATATATATATATATATATGCAGTTTGTATATAAATAAATACAGTATGTTGTATAAATAAAGATAAGGTATAGTAGTATCTGAGTAAAGGAGTGAATGAAGGCAATAAGGCCTAATTGTTTATAAACTGTATTGCATATAGTATGTATATATATAAAAGGATGAAGAAAATATTGAAAATAGTGAACAATAAAGGTTGGTTACCCCATGAAAGACAAAAAATAAAGTTCAATGTAATCTAGTTTACTAAGGGTTTGTAATGTCTTTAACAAAGGATAATTTCTTAGAAACATGCTTTCCTATTATCAATAACACTTCTGATTTGGAATAGGTATATACTTCCTGTACTTGTTATCATAACCCCTGAATTGACAATCTGTTATTTTCATGTTAACAATTTTGCAATATAGTAGATTATGCACTAAGTTATTCTATGTCTTAGAATTTGAAAATGAAACTTAAACTTATTTTGAGTGCTTACGTTATTCTACTTTACTTGGCAAAATGTCAAATTACCAAAGTGCAAAGTATAAATTAAACAAGATTTAAAGATAAAGACCATTTTGCTGAATGTTGTTGCATATTAACACAACAGGCTTTTGATGCTGAAGCAAAATTAGGCAAACTGAAGCTAAAATGACATTCAAATGCATAGTTGTTGTGGTGCTGGTCATTATTGTGCAGGTACTTGCCGGCCAAAGCTACCAAGGGAGATCAACGACCTCAGCTTGTAGCGTTGTTGCAGAGTCATGTGATACAATGATTATGAAGTTGGAGTCGGTCCGTACAATGATTGATGAGAAAGGTGATGTCTGTGATTGCGGTAAGTACCTATTTGCCTACAATAAAATTTATGTGAAGTTGCAAGTTGTAATGGACCCTGTGTGAAAAAAGCTTGCACGGGTTTGATACTGTCAAAACTACTTGCACAACCACTGCGTCATATGACGCAGCGAGTGCCCGGCTTGACAGTATTTTGATTGATTTAAATCAGCACCAAATAAATAATCAGGTTGCAAGATTCTATAGGATTTAAAACAAAGTGAATTATACTGTATCTTGCTAAAATTTGCCCTGTATCAAAGAGAGTGCATTTTAGGTTTAAACATTTTTACTACAATTTTGTTTACTAGTTAAATCTGATTTTTAACATCCATAGGAAATTAGTTGTGGTTAAAAAGTTTGAGACCCACTGATTCAGATATATATTAAATATTTGCCTTTATGTTTGACAAAATCATGTGCAGTTGAAATATTGCATGACAGCTTACATTTTGTTTCATATTTACAAAACTAAGCATGACTTGTTTACAGTGTGTCCTGAAGCAACACCTGTCGACTGTGCGGAGATCAAACAACCAGTGGAGTTTATTACATCAAACCCAGAGGTTACCACAGTAAATTCCATGTTTATTGTAACATGCTTACTGATGGGGGCAGTTGGACAGTTTTTCAACGCCGTATGGATGGGACTGTCAAATTCAACACAACTTGGAATAACTACAAAAATGGTTTTGGGACTTTGATGGAGGAGCACTGGCTTGGGAACGACTACCTACATTATCTGACAAGACAAGGCCTTTACACCCTACGTATTGATATGGAGGACTGGAACGATGCTAAGACCCATGTAAAGTACTCAAAATTTAATATCGATGGAGAGGGCGACAACTACCGTGTAGACTTTGGAATTTACCTCAGTGGAACCATACTAGACCGACTCACGTATCATAAGAAACAACCATTTTCAACTTTTGACCGAGACAATGACAGTTCATCAACAAATTGTGCGGCACATCACAGTGGCGGATGGTGGTTTAAGTCTTGCGACGAATGTAACCTTAATGGTAAATATTATTATTCGGACAGATATACTGCTCCCCGCGATATCGGTATCGAATGGAAGGCAGGTTCTTATTCAACTAATACATTCTATTCGGTTAAATACACAGAAATGAAAGTGCGGCCAATTGCCTACTAAATTACTGCAGTAGCCGGACACCATTTATTCCAAAATTATGCTCACATGTTTACATATTTACTTCAAAAAAACATACATTTCTCTTTAATCACTGCACCAAATATGGTATTGTCACTAAGCACCACCTAATGCTTTTTTGAGATACATTCTATTTCAAATAATGCGCTACAGTAAAATGTTCTAAAATGTTATAAGTAACACATCACTAATTTGATTATACGGGACTTGCCATGGAAAAACCAGTCCCGATGGACAAAACAAGAACGTTATAATGTATTCATATTCTCCACATTACTAGCTTCAAAATGATGGGTCATTTACTGGAATCTACTTACTATTGCCAAAGTTATGAGTGAAAGTATCCTACTAGTATTTATTACTCTGTCTTTATACTGAAATAACACTTTCAGTGCTAAAAAACTGATTTCCAAAGTGGTTCGGTATTGACCAAACAAAGAAAGCTATTGAAGAAACAAAATTAAAAACAATTTCTTAAAATAGTTAACAATACAATAATTTACATGGGAGAATAATATGCATAGTAGAGTATACAATACTGCCACATTTGCTAATTACTCAGTTTAGCAACAGTATGCTGGTTTTGGGATGGCAAGCCTCATTTATGGTAACTATATGATGTAGAAATGTTAAAAATCATCCATGATAACAAAAAATTGTTTCATTATTTAGAAAAAGGAAACAAAATGTTTTGTAAATATATTATTATAATGTGAATTTAAAATATGAACATTCAATTTAAAACATGAGTAACCAATTTTAAACGTTAATTAAATACATTGATATTCAATTAAAAATCAATTTCAAATATGCATTCAATTCAAAGGTCATTTTAATTAATAAATATTGAATACAAAATATAATTAGAAATAATATTATACATGATTATGAAAGTGAAAAAAAAAGGAATCTAGCTTGAATTATAGATTTGTTGCTTGCCATTCGTATTCTGTAGTATTTGTTGTAATACTTCCAAGTTGGCTTTCTATCATTGCTAGGAGTAATACAGAAAAAGGCAGGAGGTTGGGCATAGGAGATTCAGCCACAGTTATGAAGCTACCATAAAACCTTAAATAGAAGCCCTAGTATTCTTAAAACAAACTTTAGTCGTAGTTTGACCTAAAACTTACGACAAAATTACGCCATTTCATATTCTTAAAATGAACTTCGACTAGCACTACGACTAAATCACACAAACCTCAACCAAAATCATACCTCCGCAGGCCGATTTTTTTAGTCAGACTGGGTTAAGGCTAAAACACTGAATTGAAATATTTACCCCCAAAAAAAACATTTTTTTTGTAACTCACAATAGAATGAAAATAATAAATATGTTGTATAAGTAGGTCTGATGCATCTTCAGTGTGTTTATGAAAAGGGACATTGTGTTTTGCTCCCAAAAGGCAAAAATATTAACATGTTTTGCTAGCCACATGTGATAGTTCCTTTGTGTATATATAAAAGGATGAAAAAAATATTGAAAACAAATGAAAAGAGACAATAAAGGTCGGTTACCCCCATGAAAGACAAAAAATAAAGTTCAACGTAATCTAGTTTACTGAGGGATTGTAATGTCTTTAACAAAGGATAATTTCTTAGAAACATGCTTTCCTATTATCAATAATACTTTTGATTTGGTATAGGTATATACTTCCTATACTTGTTATCATAACCCCTGAATTGACAATCTGTTATTTTCATGTTAACAATTTTGCAATATAGTAGATTATGCACTAAGTTATTCTATGTCTTAGAATTTGAAAATGAAACTTAAACTTATTTTGAGTGCTTATGTTATTCTACTTTACTTGGCAAAATGTCAAATTTACCAAAGTGCAAAGTATAAATTCAACAGGATTCAAAGATATAAGACCATTTTGCTGAACGCTGTTGCATATTAACACAACAGGCTTTTGATGGTGAAGCAAAATTAGGCAAACTGAAGCTAAAATGACATTCAAATGCATAGTTGTTGTGGTGCTGGTCATTATTGTGCAGGCACTTGCCGGCCAAAGCAACCAAGGAAGATCAACGACCTCGGCTTGTAGCGTTGTTGCAGAGTCATGTGATACAATGATTATGAAGTTGGAGTCGGTCCGTACAATGTTTGATGAGAAAGGTGATGTCTGTGATTGCGGTAAGTACCTGGTTGCCTACAATACAGTTTACATGAAGTCGCAAGTATATTGTAGCGGACCCTGTGTGAAAAAAACGCTTGCATGGGTTTAATACTGTCAAAACTACTCGCACAACCAAAATCATTCAGTAAACTACAAAATGAAAAGGGGATGGTGATGGGCCTACAAGTCCTAAAGTGAGGTCCGAATCAAGGGCTGCATAATAATAGTGTAGATTTGTATAGAGCCGGTATCCATCAAACAAGATGTTCATAGTGCTTGATATGTGGACTAGTAGCTCGACCACTTACCTTCTTTGCCCCAAGGGACCCTTTGTGTCAGAGCTACCCGGTAACCCAGTACCAACAACTCCCGTCGTCCACCACAGGGGCTGTCTGTGCCAGTATATCATGGTATCTCCCTACTCGTCCCGAATGAAGTACTGGGTTCTTTATAGTGCACACGGTTTGTAGTCTTTATTCGAGAAGATTTGTTCTAACACCAGAACCATAGGCAAGCGTGCCGTTCGAACCAGCGCCAATATTATGGATGTAAGGTTGTGGCGTCCCTGCCTTAATGTTCAACTCGCATAGAGCCTCTGATCAAGTCCACGGAGTAAAAGACATAGTGGGGTGAGCGGGAGATATCATACTATTTAGGATGATAAACATTGTGATTTTAGACTACAATATTAAGAACTCCAATCGCAATAACTTTAGCTGGACTGGAAATTTATTATTTTTAGTCCAATGACCTCAAGTCTCATCCAATGACAGGGGATTTATGTTGCCTACAAGCCACCCAATGGTGACTAAAGCTGCTGACACTGCACACGACGGTTGTCGGTCGACGCGATTCTGTGAAGAACGCAACGCGACGACGCGCAACAGATTGTTTTTAATGACGATCCGTTCAGACTGCTACTGACCATCAGCAGACAGCATTGCTTCGTCTATCGATCACAGGGAGCGGAGTTAGATTCGTCGTGCGACGGTCGTAAGCCCGTCGTACGATGCAGTCAGTGCCCGGCTTGACAGTATTTTGATTGGTTTAAATCAGCACCAAATAAATAATCAGGTTGCAAGATTCTATAGGATTTAAAACAAATTGAATTATATTGTATCTTGCTAAAATTTGCCCTGTAGCAAAGGGAGTGCATTTTAGGTTTAAACATTTTTACTTCAATTTTGTTTACTAGTTAAATCTGATTTTTAACATCCACAGGAAATTAGTTAGGGTCAAAAATTTTAAGAACCACTGATTTAGATATATATTAAATGTTTGCCTTTATATTTGAAAAAAAAAATGCGCAGTTGAAATATTGCATGACAGCTTACATTTTGTTTCATATTTACAAAACTAAGCATGACTTGTTTACAGTGTGTCCTGAAGCAACACCTGTCGATTGTGCGGAGATCAAACAACGTGATCCAAAAGCAACCAGTGGAGTTTATTACATCAAACCCAGAGGTTACCACAGTAAATTCCATGTTTATTGTAACATGCTTACTGATGGGGGCGGTTGGACAGTTTTTCAACGCCGTATGGATGGGACTGTCAAATTCAACACAACTTGGAATAACTACAAAAATGGTTTTGGGACTTTGATGGAGGAGCACTGGCTTGGGAATGACTACCTACATTATCTGACAAGACAAGGTCTTTACACCCTACGTATTGATATGGAGGACTGGAACGATGCTAAGACTTACGTAAAGTACTCAAAATTTAATATCGATGGAGAGGCCGACAACTACCGCGTAGACTTTGGAATTTACCTCAGTGGAACCATACTAGACCGACTCACGTATCATAAGAAACAGCAATTTTCAACTTTTGACCGAGACAATGACAGTTCATCAACAAATTGTGCGGCACTGCACAGTGGCGGATGGTGGTTTAAGTCTTGCGATGAATGTAACCTTAATGGTAAATACTATCATTCGGACAGATATACTGCTCCCCGCGATATCGGTATCGAATGGAAGGTAGGTTCTTATTCAACTAATACATTCTATTCGGTTAAATACACAGAAATGAAAGTGCGGCCAATTGCCTACTAAATTACTGCAGTAGCCGGACACCATCTATTCCAAAATTATGCTCACATGTTTACATATTTACTTTAAAAAAACATAGAATTCCTCTTTAATCATTGCACCAAATATGGTATTGTCACTAAGCACCACCTAATGCTTTTTTGAGATACATTCTATTTCAAATAATGCACTACAGTAAAATGTTCTAAAACGTTATAAGTACCACATCGCTAATTTGATTATATGGGACTTGCCATGGCAAAACCAGCACCGGTGACCAAAACAAGAACGTTATCACGTATTCATATTCTCCACATTACTAGCTTCAAAATGATAGGTTATTTACTAGAATCTATTTACTATTGCCAAAGTTATGAGTGAAAGTATTTAAGTAGTATTTATTACTCTGTCTTTATTAGTTGAATAACACTTTCAGTGCTAAAAAAACTGATTTCCAAAGTGGTTCAGTATGACCAAAAAAAGAAAACTATTGAAGAAACAAAATTAAAATAATTTCTTAAAATAATTAACAATAATTTACATGGGAGAATAATATGCATAGTAGAGTACACAATACCGCTACATTGTTATGCTAATTACTCAGTTTAAGATTTAGCAACAGTATGCTGGTTTTGGGATGGCAAGCCTCATTTATGGTAACTATATGATGTAGAAATGTTGAATGAAAATCACCCATGATAACAAAAGATTGTATCATTATTTAGACAAAGGAAACAAAATTTTTTGTAAATATATTATTATAATGTGAATTTAAAATATGAACATTCAATTTAAAACACGAGTAACCAATTTAAATCATTAATTAAATACACTGATATTCAATTAAAAATCAATTTCAAAACATGTATTCAATTCAAAGTTCATTTTAATTAATGAATATTGAATACAAAAAATAATTAAAAATAATTATTCATAATTATGAAAGTGAGAAAAAAAAGGAATCTAGCTTGAATTATAGATTTGTCGCTTGCCAGTCGTATTCTGTAGTATTTGTTGTAATACTTCCAAGTTGGCTTTCTATCACTGTTAGAAGTAAATACAGAAAAAGGCAGGGGGTTGGGCATAGGAGATTCAGCCACATTTATGAAGCTACCATAAAACCTTAAATAGAAGTCCCAATGGCTTAATCTTGAGAAGCCCATGGGCTTCTAATCAAAACAAAATGGGCTTCTTTTGAGATAGTACTTACATTCAGACTGACGTTATATTTGATGGTTTTTTTTAAATTGTTTTAAAATTTTTATGTCAGTATCAAAAGTATTTTATTGTACTAGCATGGTTAAAATTTTTTTAAATACTAAACAAACTTGAAAAATGTTGTATAGTAGAAATTAAAATTTACAGCATTCATTTTGAAAAAAAGATGCCCCCGCCCTCCCATCTCGAGAAAGAGGCCCATGTCGAAAAGAAGCCCATCCAAGGATCCTAAAAACAAAAAAAGTAATTTAGGGTTTCTATTCAAGATTTTACATTATAGGACATGTGCTCAGAGTTTTGTCCCCCTACTGATGTGCCACTAATAAAAAAATACCAAGCTCTTACCTGGGATCCAACTGCATAAACAAGATGTGTTTTGGGACTGAGGCAAAGCTCTGAAAGACTGGTAGAATTATTAGAATTGGGAATGACAAATGGTGGAACAGTTGGGCGCTGATTCATGGTGAGGTCATTGATGTCAAAAACGAATGACACTACTTGATAGGAAGCCTAAGAGCGATAAAGAGCAGTATTGACAATATACATTGAACTAATTATTAACTGCCACCCAATCTTCTGACACAAAAGAGGGACTGGGATCAGTTTTAAAAATAATTATAGAGGAGATATTATGAAAAGAAAATTGTAATTGCTTTGTGTCTTTGTATTGCCAGAGGAAAACAAATTTCCAGCAGTGTTTTATTGGACAATAAATGTTATCTTATCTTATCTTACCTTAAAAGTTCACATTTTTTGGTATCTAGTTAATATGTGACATGATATCAGCATCAAAATATATACCAGTAGATATTTTTAACTTATTTTCATAAATTACTCATACTGTAGTTTAAACATTGTGCAAACCACAAATTTAACTTTTTAGGAAGATTGAAAACAAAAGTTCCAGCATTCTAAATCTAATTAAAATTTTTTTTTTTAAAGATTTTCAATTAAAGCTATTTTTTCACAAACACTGAAAAAACAAGATTAAAAAGATTACTTGAAGTCTTTGGAGGGCAATCAATATATATCTGTCTATGTCCACAACAGCAGCTACTGTTTGGCTAACAGCATAAGTTCCAGGGAATTCCACCTTTGACCAAGATGTATAAGGTGCTGTACCCTTTAAAGGACTCTGAAACAGAAGTGAGAGTGAAGAGTGAGTGAGGAAAAACAATGCCAAATTGAATTTTAACAATTTAGAAAAATCAACTCTAAACATATTGACACTTGATATAAAACCATCCATCCAGTACCATATGTAGGAATATTGAAGGGGTCTGATTGGGGTGGGCGGCAAAGGTGAAGCGAGAGGGTTCAATGATAAAGACAGTGAGGGGAAGCTAGCTGGCAAAGTAAGGTTGTATGAGGTAATTCTCTTTCATTAAAAAATGTGATGGTTAATATGATGTAAAAAGCTGATAGCTATTGACTTTGTGATGGTTTGGATTAGTGGCAAACAGTTGAGGGCATCATGTCAATTATTAGACATTAAGTATACCTGATTATGGTACGGAAACTGGAAGATTTTCAAATCAAAAGTAAAATCTGTTTGAACACCATTAAAAAAAAATATGAATATAATTAATATAACAACAAAAACAACTGAAGCACAGACTAAACATTTTCAGTTAAAATGGATATGTTATTGATTCTACTTAAAGTTCTACACACACAGCTTTATGAGAAAAATGTTTGTGATGACATATCACATCCACATATAAGCACATCACAGATTTTGTGACAAATTTGTGTGATGTGCCCATATATAGAAATGACGAGGTCATATTACACCGATGAATGGGCATGTCACAGTTATTTGTCACATGAAGTTTTATAGTGTGGACAAACATTAAAGTCCTGTCCAGACTATCAAATTTTATTTGACAAAAACATGTGACATGCCTAAATATGGTCATGATGATATCATGTCATGACCATATATAGCCACATTATAATTTTTATATGGGCGTAAAACAGTTTTTTTGTGAAAAAAGAAATTCATAGTGTAAACAGAGCTTAGCTCCCGTTCACACTATCAGATTGCATGTGACAAATAACTGTGACATCATATTATATGGGCACATCACACAAATTTTTTACATAATAGTTGATAGTGTGGACAAACCTTAAATGATTACACTATATATGTGTCAGACTCAACAGAAAATCTCTAATTGAGTTTTGTCTGAGGCTGTGTTTCCACAGCACTGATAATTGTATTTTTTTTCGATAATTTCTCCGATAAACTATCTTAAAATTCCCTCCAAATATTTTATCCCATCATGCAAAAATTATGGACCACAATGCAATGTGTTCAACATCAAAACATCTGTTTTGTTGATCTAGCATGTGACCGACCCTTTTTGAATGAGACGGATAAGCCAAGACACCGTTCGGTAGTACTTATATTCTGGGAAATGTATATCACAATAGTGCTTCAGTGTAACTGTCGAGAGATTAAGCAGATGAAGAAAAAGGATGCTAGCTTTGGTGTACTTTACGGTACAAATACAATTAATAAACGATATTGACAGACCTAGGATTAGAGTAGCTGGGTGGCAAGGTTGAGCACAGCCATTTAAAGGGGATTTTTATATTCAACATGCCTGAAAAAAATTACTCACTATTTATTACGTGTTTGATACTAGGCCTACTAACTATAAGTTGCCTTAGAAGCATTCCCACAAAGAATTGTTCCCACTGTACACAAATAATTCTTTGCATGTTAATACTAAAGAACAACATGGAGTTACATGGAGTTACAAATATCTAGTTATAAAATGTTATATAACTCAATGTTAGAACACTGATCAATCAATTATAACAAAAATACCTACATCTAAATTATAAAATAACAACAGAATACTGAATTTCCTTTTTTGGTTTGATTACCTTTTCTATATACGATGACTTAGAGACTAGAAATATGACATCCACTGATATTTAAAAAATGCATATAAAAAACATAAATGTATTGTATACTTTGACTACAACAACGATGGCAGCAGAACCAACATTGACGACAACAATAATACTATAATGATAACTATTGTACAGCATAATGTTCAGACAAAATGTTGCAATAATCAGAATCAATGCACTATAATACTTCTAATAATATAACTTTCAATAAAGTCAAATAAAAAAAAATTGTTTTCAGTACTACAAGAAACCTTAAATTGTGTGTATATTTGCAAAAACTATTAATAGGCAACACAAATCTCTCCTCTACATTTTCAGTAGAAAACTAATAGCCTTTTAAAATATACAAAGTATGCAAGCTTATTAAACATTACTTGATATCTTTAAAAAAATGTTTGAAAATTCTTACTCACCATATGATACTAACCCAACATTGAGGGCAGCAAAACACTCAGGAGTATGCATCAATTTATAGTGAACAAAGTGTCCTTGTTGAATGTCATCAATATTTATATAATTAAAAGCCAACTAAAAACAAAAACAAACAAGAGACAAAAAAGATTACACAAGATAAATGTCAAATAATATAAAAATAATAATTACCTAAGTAATGAAAGTGAAAATGATAAACAATAACCCTGTGTTGATAATTATTTGAAATTTTCACTTATGGAATTTATTATTTTTGTTTGTATTGCTTTTGTTTATTTGTATGGCACAGGTGTAAATAAGATAATATGCAAATACATTATATAAACCAAATTATATGTTATAATAAAAACAGTTGATGCAGATTTACAAGCAAACATATTTATAGTAATAATAATAATTCAGATTAAGATGCCAATGCCTAAAGTAATAAAACTGATACAATGATAATGACTAAAAAATATATTCAAATGTATAATAATAAAACCGATTCAGAATTAGATGCCCCAATGGGCAGTTCAATCAGGGAGGTAAATACCTCCCTGGTTCAATCTGTGTACTGTAATCAGAGAGCAATTTAATATGAATGTTACCTGTGATTTATAACCTCTGTTGAATTTTGTCATCTTTTCACTGACAAAAACACCGCGATTTGTGAGAACAATCAGATACGTAGACGTTAGTACCATGTCCAACAAAAGCAAATTTGAACAATCTAAAAAAAAAAAATATTCTTTGTAACACCTTACACTTGCAGTAAAAATAGTAATTGTTAATTCTGGTAAATTTACATAAAAATGTGTAAAAATCTGGCTAAAATAATAATAAAATTTTATATTTAACACATTGACTGCCAGACCTTTTTTAAGGTTCCTTCCTGCGTGCTAGAACAAGTTTACATGTACAAACATACTTTTTTGAAATTTTATCTAGTCATATATCATTAAAATGATGTGTCTAATAAATTGGCGGGAAAATATTAGGGGGCGAGTATACTCGTCGATGGCACTGTGATAAAACTTTTTACTGACTATGCCAAGTGCGAGTTATCTCGTCCGTTTTTTACATGGGTTGGTATATGTTCAAAGGACGCCCCCACTTGTACCGCTCGAGTGTACTACCGGCAACATAACACAACATACATATGTCATTTGTACGTTATCATCTAGGTGTATCTTCCACGAACTACCAGCCATTGAGTCTGTGGTTCTACAATGTATAATAAAGAAGTAATAAAAGCTAGAATGTTACCCCGATTTTGACGAGTATGCTCATCCCTGGCGCCCTCAGCAACACCCTGTGGGCGAGTATACTCGTCGCTGGCAGCCAACGTGTTAAGTAATCTATAGCGTATAAGTCACTGTCTCAAAATCTGGTAATATTACATTAAGGATGTTAAGTCCTGTCCAGACTATCAAATGTTATTTGACAAAAACATGTGACATGCCTAAATATGGTCATGATGACATCACATCATGACCATATATAGACACATGATGGTCATACAACAGCTTTTTGTCAAAGAAAATTTGACAGTCTGGAAAAGGCTTTATTTTTGCCTAAAACTTGACATGCTATCACAAAAGATATTAAGTACTAATGTATTACTAATTAGTAATTAAGTACTAGAATATTGCCTACTCCAGTAGGCAATATTTGAGGTGGAAGTACACATTATGCTCATTCCTATCTACTCAACTTGGCATGTCAGTATTCTAACAAGAATCATGGTTCTTACCTGGACACAGAGCTTGGCTTAAGTCATAACAGGCGTCCCCTTCACCCATGAACCTGTTATAAGACGTGCAAATAGGTATCACTAAAACAAAAAACAAAATAAAAATATTTTTACTACATAATATTGATATGTCTATGTCAACACTGATCACCTTTAAACTTTTGGTGATCGTTCTTTTATGTTGCTGCTCCAAAGCTAAGGATCCATCTACCCGAGACCGTACATGACTCCCCATCTTTGACTTCTTTAAGACTCAGCTTAAATCCCATCATTTTTTTTAAATTTAAATTCTGAACTTGATTTCTTTTATTTTGGTTTTTGTTTTTAATTTTTCTTTTTTTTGTTCACTTTGGCTGTGGTTTCTTAGCGCATAGAAACAATTTTGTATTATGCGCTTTATAAGCTTATCGCCATTACCATTTAGGTGTTTACAGAGACACTGTAAACTTGCGTGGACCACAGCAGCGCTCATTACCATCACCTGACACAAAAAATGCAGCATTTAAAACAAACATTTGACTATAGCGGTGTCATTTATCCTAAGTCTAAGGATACCAATACCTGACTGTACACCAGACAGGGCCACTATTATAACGTCAGCAGTGCATGGGCTAGTGACTTGTAGAATTTGAACATCATCGATATCAGTTATTGGAAGCCAATTGGTATAGTGTAGCAACTCTCCAAGGTGCCACTGCAGTATTGGTTCTAAAGGAAAAAATACATTGTTAAATGGAAGAAAACAAAAAAATCTTAAGCTGAGCCGAATGTAATAGTTACAGTGTGTGTATTGATCATGTGTCTTAACACCACAATAAAAAGTAAAATTACACATAATTTTACTGCAAATTTTAAGTAATACTGTACCTTTATTTAAATCTAAAAATGACGCCTTGGTTTTAAAGACTTCCAAACTGTGGTCTAACATAACATAGACATTCCATTCCTCAGAAAAATCTAAAATGAAACAGGGATTTCTGAATATAAAGTTTGAAATGATTTGGTCCCTCAAAAAAAAAAAAATTAGCATGTCACAATTTTATTTTTAACAGCAAGTGTTATGTAATTTTTTTGAGCCAGTATTATTTTGCCAGTCATTTATTGGTTCCACCCAACCATTTGGTATTTCTTCCAGCATTATTGCTGCCAATAGGGAACTTTCGACTTGCGCGGCGAGATGCTAGAACGGATTCACTCATGCGTGAATGTCCCATGTTCTCTGCACAACATAGATTTGGCCAAATTGCGTCCCTAAATCCATGCAACCACGAGAAACCATGTTCTCAGATGCACAGGTGACTTTAAGCGACGTCATTACATTCTACGTCCTACCATCGCCGTGCAACTGAAAGCTCCCTAATTATTAGTTCTACCCCTCTCCCTACTGTTTCATCCATTCAATAATTCATTCCTTAGTTTTTAAGTAACTCAAGTTATTCCAGAAACATAGACAGGTGGACAGACAGAAGACCCATCAGAAAGACCCAGAAGACAAAACGGAAACAACGTGACAGTTTTATTGTTGCTCTATTGCCAACTGGCCTTTTGTTGGAAATCCTATTGATTTACCATTTTTATTGATTGCTTTTTATTGTACTTAACTTTGAAATGGGTTTTAATGCACAGCACTTTGATCTCTTTTTGTAAAGGCGTTAATAGATTCTTTTTAATAATAATAACTGACAGAAAGACAGGCCTAAGAAATAGCTAAAATACTGACCCACACAAAGAACTAATCATACACTATTTAAAAACATGAATGTATGATATATTGAAGTTATTTATATTATAATCAATTGATAATAAAAATGTATCCAGATTGATGATCCTATTACCCTCATCTAAATTACTTAGCTGCTCTCTGGGAATGGTCATTCTCCAAGCTTTGTCACTTGTGTTTCTCTGTGAAAAACCAATAATTAAAAAATAATGAATAAGAGATGAAAGGGAAAAGTTTTAAATTAAAATATGCTCATGATCATTGAAATTATTGTCTTAATCTAAATACATATTCTCAGCCATAAAACTTGAAGAAGGAAACTATCGAAAGTGAAACACTGAATTGTTATTCAAACCAATTAAATAAACAATGTTATCAATTTTGGTACGAATTAGAAAACCCTGGAATTAGGTCTAGGCCAATATAAATGAAGACACAAACAAAAAATCCATTCCTGATGAAATATTACTTGGAACTTAAACAATTTTTCTCGAAATACTCAGTTTTCTCTGAAGTTCAAACACTGTGCTTGGGCAATACAACCAGTGGTGGCTCCAGAAATTTGCCGACAAGGGGTCCAACATGTCAGAGAGCGGGGTCCGAACCAAGGGGCCATTTAGACCACAATATTAGGGATTGGCAATCCAAATGCCTGGAAATTGCACTCTCATATCGCAGAAATCTTACCAGTGATTCAACAATATAATACATTTGTTTTTCTTAATACATTTTAGAGGGTGCAAATGCACCGTCTGCAAACCCTCCTCCAGGGTCCACCCCAGAATCTTTTTTTCTTTTGAGCAATTTGAGCATTGCCTTTAGTAGCTATACTTGCCTGAGCTCTTGGAAAATGGAAGTCTCTAGTCCAGGATGAATTGAAGATCTGCAGCGTAGGAGTGTGCCCCCGAAGAAGTAGGCTTTGTGTGAGTGCATGCCTCCCTGTAGGAGTGTTATCTTCTTCATCAGCTGCTTCACAAATAACATTCTAATATTATCCAAAGAAACAAGTGAAAATGATTTTTAAAAAAATAAACAGATAATTTGTGTGTGTGTGCATGGGCTTATATTTTGTTTAAGTTTTAAACTAAATTGACTTACCAAGAATGAACCATCTAAATACAGCTTGTTTGACAGAATGCCATCCTCGGATCGCTGAGAGCCAACATGCATGCTGTACCCTATAAAGTGTAATAATAATAATAAACATCAGGAATAAGACTATAGGGGCTAATACTATACCACAGACAATATTAAAATGCTCTTGATGTCTGGTGTAACGGGAGTATACTATTAATTGTTATTGTTTGCATTGTGGGTAATGTCACATGATGAGTTGCCGCGGGAAGGCGGCAGACGATGATTGATGATGCCTCGATGCGAGAGGTCGGTCCGAGTGATGTTGATACATATACTAATGATTTGGTGGCATAGTAGTATTATTATTTGGTAGCGTCTCCCGTGTTTTAGTAACGGTTCGGACGTTACACTGTAAGTGCCTTTAAATCTGTCACTTGAAGGCCTACTTACAAACCTTTAGACAGCAGCTGCACATAACATTGTGTCGCGCAGAGTACAATCTATAATATTTACACAGAATGCAGTAACTCAGGTTGCAGTTTGTGCTAGTCCATATATGCTCGGTGAAGGATGACTGAAGAAATTAACCAGGGAGATAATTTTTTGTAGGGTGAAAGTTAAAAAAATTTAGTAAAAATTAAATTGACTAACTAAACTAAACTAACTAAAATTTTGAAATTAGAAAAACAGGAATCTATGTAGGCAGATAAAACACTAGATACGGGTCTTAATAATATACAAAAGGAATAAATCATTTATAATAGAAATTGTGCACTTCTGAGTTTGTTGGCCTAATAATAGGCCAGTTTACATGCTTCCAATTGTAACAACGTACAGTAGGGGGGCCTACATTGTTTTCATAATAAATTTAGCCTCTGATAATCATAACTGTTGCACCCATAAAATCGATGGAGTGTTTACTGGGATGGATACGAAATGTACAAATAATGTAAACAGACAAAATTCATGACAGTCATTCGTAATTGTTGTTGTTCTTTCCACTGACTTTTTAAAAGTATGGTTTTGACTAGGCCTAGGCCTAGGCCTAGCCAGCCTATAAAAGACTGGTGAAAAGTGAGGGGGTGGGAATTTTTAATTAATGATATGATGTAACGCCTCCTACTTTGAAAAGTGGGGGGATGTGTCCCAATTGTCCCCCACCAATCGACACCCATGAGTACTAGCATAGGCTAGTACTAGCCTGTAGCCATAAGCCGTAGCATAGCCTAGGCTAGGCAATACCACCACCACCACCAGATAGGCCGCCGCCTGCCCTATCCGGGCCAGGTTATCATAAAAGTCCGCGAAGCCTTAATCATACATTACTGCTTGTAACTTACTTGATTTAGCGAGGCCATACACTGTTATACAGCACCAAAAATTAATTAAATAAATATTATTACAAAATGTAGTTGATAATCTGCACTGCATTATCATTAACTTCTAAAAAAACACCAATCCTAACCAAAACTCCGAAACCAATCCGCCTGCGCAATCACTCTTCGAGCAGCGCAAAAAATACAACAAACAAGTTTTACACAAAGTTTTCCATGAATAGAGGGCAGCAAAGACAAAAAAACCAAAAAAACAAACAAAAACAAAAACATAGGAGAAATTTGTACGGTACCCACCGCATAGAATGTAATGACTTACCACAATATAGACTTCTTAAAGTACAGTATAATAAGAATACCTATATGCTATAGTACAGTAACAAAATATGAAGTATGAAACCTACAGATTAAAAGAATCCTACAATAAATAAAAAATAAGAAATGAATATTGTAATAAAATAAAACAATACAGGTACTCAAAAATAATTATTTGAGTCAAACTGGAAAAGATGTTAACTAACTGTAACGTCGTTCTGAAAAGTGGATATTTCTGTCATGATAAACTGTGTGAAAGGTGCTGTTAGAAGGTTGTCACTTGGCCAATGGGATCAAAATATGTTAAATAATAAGATAATATATGAGCCTATCACACATTATCACTAACACAGGAAGCAATCAAGCTTCCAAATGGATTCAGCTTCCTCAAGCGCGAAGCGATTACCGTCAACAAACCATTGTTTTGTAAACTGTGTTTACTTTTTTCTTCTCACTCAATCACTTAATTTAGATTTCATTGACGTTTTAATTGTGTTCATGTTCTGAAGCGTAAATTATAATTATCACAACAAATTAGCAACACCATCAGTTAAAAATGGAAATTAATCGTTGAACGATCGGTTAGGGTATTACAAATAAAGCTAAATAAGAAAACCATAGGAATTAACATCTCTTATCTAGTGACATCAAACTAGTACAGGATAAACATCTAAACCTACATCCACTAAATATTACGAGTAAATCAATGGCAATGAACGCAAACGGATGTTATTGCATAAATTTGGAAACATAAGGGATGATAATAAATAATATTTAAATAATTTCCAGTTAATATCTCCAGCAGAAACCGCAACAACCACACAAAATAACTTTGAACCCAGTTAATGATACATTTCAAACGCAGTAGGCACCATTCCAAATATCACACCCGCAAAGGCTATTACAATATTATTCTAGGAATTTGTACATACCAAAGAAACTGGGAAAAACAATCTAGCAATTAATTGAATAATAATAAACGGCTTTCCAATCTAACAAACAACCGTCAAACAATCTAAAATAATTAGGTCTATGAAATTATAACGAATTAAAGTGATCACGAAAGAGAGGGGGAGGGTAAGGTGAGAGTAGTGGTGGTGAAACAGGACACGTCCCCACACTTTTCGACTGCAATGTAATTTCATACATACCTGAAAATTGTTGAAATGAACTGTATAGGACTGAATGACCCAGATTTTAAGGAAAGAGCGATCTGCCGCAGTGCCATTAAATAACATGATTACTTACAACTCTTGTAGAATGTTGTAATAGTAATGTTATGGTGCCCAGCGGGCTGGTCCCAATAATGTTTTTAAAATTAAAAAAAATGGAGACAAATAGAAATTTTATTACAATTTTAAATCTGAGAGTGCCATTTCCGTCCATCTAGAGGTGCCATAATCATAAAATCTTACCTCAGCCCCAACCATGATGGGGCTGAGGTGGTATAGACCCTCCATCTGTGAAAGTCTGACTCTGGACCCCTCTATTTCAAATTCCTGGATGAAGAGTGTCATTTCCGGTCATCTAAGGGTAATTTCTTAAAATTATCGGGCGTGGACTCACAACTATCACCCAGCTTTCAAACCAGATTTGCACCGTAGTGGGTATTTAACCCACTACGGATTGGCGGCAATTAAAATAACGTTATTTGGAAAGGCACATTATTATTTTGGTCCCCCTCGGTCCAGGCCTGTCCGGCGAGTGGGGAGGGGAGGCTCTTCGGCCCCTAGCTGGTGCCACCACTGGTTGATGCTCTAACATGACATTGAGTTCTTCCTGCAAATAAATTGGCACAAGGTCAATAAAACGTCACGCATATCGTGACAAGTATAAATTCAAAAAAACATTCTGAGGAAGAGCAAACGGCTACAAGTTTCCAAACAAGCATCGTAGTTCTCATAAACATTCTGTTGGAGTTTGGTAGCTATCATACCATCAGCAAATTCGTACATTTAGAGACATTCTGTAAAAAATTTATTTGTAAAGTTACTTAAAATATTACATTAAAACGTCAAGAAATTTGGAATGGAACACAAGGACTTAGGCCTATTTGTTATTTTGGCTGTCATTGTCCAAGTGATGACAATCCCCGTAGGACAAGGTGCATCGACGTCCTCCGGGTGCCCACCTGTTAATCAAACGTGTAACACCATGCTTAAGGAGTTGGAATCGGTACGAATATTATTAGATACAAAAGAGAAAGCATGTGATTGTGGTGTATTGAGCGACGCTCAGAAAGCAATAGCCGCGAATAATCAACTACTACGCAATAGTGGTACCGGTAAGTACCAGACACACAGCAAAATCATTTTAAATGTATTGATTTTTTTTTTAATCTGTCGAGTAAAAAAAATATAAAAGTTCCGTGACCCCCAGTGACACCCACTGATCTCTATTATAATAGCTATTATAGAAGAGATCACTGGTGAAACCCAGAAGGAAAAGTCTCGTTGCGGTTTGTCTATTTTGCTATTGTTCAACACTGCATCGTTTAATTTTGATTTTGCCTTTTCTTTATTAATTGTATTTGGATGTATTGGAGTGCAATACATATTACAAACAAACAAACAGGGTGGGTATGCGGGGCACTAGGACTTACGTCGCTACACCATAATTTGAAGTTTAATTAAGTTAGAGATACGTGGGTCGTTAGGAACCTAAGTGGAGCAACTTCCCACTCCTGTATAGTTTGATTACAGGGCTTTTTTGTCGTTATATTTTTTTACATATATTGTTTTGAATAATAAAGGCCCTTGATGGCTTTTGCAGCAATAAGAGATTGAATTGCTATAAAATTAGTTGACATAACGATGACTGTACATAAACTACCCACAGAAACCGTATTAAGATTGCTTAACTGGCTAGACATAGGGTATGCCTACGTGATGGGATTAGTTGCACACTGAATCAGTGTAAATACTTGAGATTTGAAAATATCAATTATAATAGGCCCACTATCAAAGTAATAATTAGGCTTATTATATGTATTGTAACATCAGGAAAGTATATAGCAAAAAAACATGTCCGGATGTTCTCATGCGCATCAATGGTCCAAATTACCAGCTTATCTTATCTAATGAGTGAAAATTGTTCCACCGCTTTTTTTTTAATGTAAAACAAATTTGAAGATCGTAGCAAACTGGTCTGCTGGCTATCAATGAGGGCAGTGGCGCATATAAGGAGGAGTGCACTCCCCGATACTGAAAAAAAAGCTTACTCCCTGGACGCACTCCCCCACTGCATATTCGGGCAGTAGTAAAATTACACTCAAGTATACAGTAGTTAAAAAATACGTTATTGGGAGAGGGGGTAGAAACTGGTTAGATATACCACCTTCACCAACAGTCTCTGGTAAACATATTCATATATGAATTTATAAAATGATTTCACTCTCTTCCAAGAAAGACAAACTCGGCCACAGGAAATCTATCATAAGAAATTAAACCTTTTGACCAAGTATTGTAAAGCTGGCGAGTAAATCATTTTCACTTGAAGTGAATAATGATAATATTGATTGCGTAACGAGTATGGTGTTTGAATAATAATGGTATATAGGCAAAATGTTGAAGATGTAATGTCTGTCATGAGCTAAAAAAAAATCATATTTAGATTACCTAATTCCTATATTTTACGATATTTAAATTAAATGAAAAATCCACCGTCAGTATAATGTACTCTTTTGTATAGGCCTACACCATAAAATTTAAGGATTGTTGTTGGTGAAATCAACAAACTAGGCCTATAATTTTTTAGACCTGTATCCGATTGAAAGTTAATTGATCCTTTTAAATGAGCTATTGAAAATTGTAATGAATTTTTTTGCGGTTTCTCCTAATTTTTTTGCAGACATAATATGTTTAATAACCGAATATTTACAATGTTATTAATGAGTATATTATGTGATACATGAACAACGTGTGAAGTAAATCACCTCAATGAATCTAAGTTAATAATTAATTGGTTAAAATTGAAATGTGATTATAAACAATGCCTTGTATTAATATTTCTAAACTATTTTAACCAATGATGCATCGCCAATCGGGGGTAAAAGTTAAACGGATCATGTGGCAACGGGCCGGATGTCGATATTTCCTTTCGGTGACATCAGTATACTGTTCCCCATGAAAATGATAAGTTTGTTATCTTGTCTTTTGTTCGTGTCCTGAAAGTGACTTTCAGGGTCAATCCTACTCAATTCGTGGTTATATTCTCCTTTTCTACATTTAGCGCCACATAGTGAAATGAAGGGATGCTAATTCGTGCAAAGGCATTGTCTGGAAAGAGCGCGCTTATTATTTATCATAACAATTTAGTTCCAACATTTATATGCAGTGGAGCTTGCACGAACAGTTGGTATATTATAGAATATAGGTCTAGAGAGTTCAAACAAACTTACAATTTAATAAACGGTATCTTTATTTTGTTTTAAACATAAAATATATACAAAATTATTCAGTTGTAACCGAAGTTGAATTGCAGAAATAATTTGAAAGCTAAAAACGAAATTACAACATTAAACTACACAAGAAAAGAAAGAAATCATTACAGTTTAAAATACAAACAGCGAAATAAAAATCACATAAGGGAAGAAAACACCAGAATTGCACAACCCAAAAAATCGACGTTGGACAAAGGATGCACAAGAATTTTGAGTTAAATTTTCACAGTGCAAACACTGCTTATGAAGTTTCAATTAGGTCAAATATGGGCTATTTATAATAATAGTCCAATAAAAAAAATTCTGTCCTTATATCATCTGATTTTACTATGCATGCATTATCGTGGGTGGCTAACATATATTAGCTTGTGGTAACCATTCTCCATTAATGATATATATTTGGAAAGCAATGCTTAGCATTAAATGCAATTCTTTAATGCATGTCATCAAGGTAATTCAACAAAAGGACGCACATCTCGGGACATCAAAGGTTATAACTCTGGCATCGACATTCTAGGCGCACGTGCGTCCCTACACGCTGAACGTCACAAAAACCATAGCAACCAGACCATAAACCGTCAGCGT